TTACATTATAATGATAAAATAAAAAAGAGGTTTGTAGGATGTTTTCACTTAGGTAATATAATTATTTGAGAACCCTGGTAGAGCCACACCTTTTGTGGTTCTGTCTTAAGTCAATTATAAATCTACCTGCCCACTTCCCTCTTTCTCTAAATCTCCTTTACTACCTTAAAAAAAAGATTCAATATTAGGTCTGAGTTGTTTGACACAATGCTAAATAGTTCTAATACCAATTTAGAGGATTTCTAGAGAAATAGTTCTAGTACCAATTTAGAGGGTTTCTAAAAGGAAAGCTTTCACAGACTTTCACAATCTTGCACTCAAGTGATTAAAAATCCAGTGCAACACAGCTGGAGGCTCCAGTCTGAAAAAAGCTGGTTAATATTAGGTATACTCACTGACTTAAGTTATTTATAAAAATAATATTGAGATTTTTTTTAATCTAAAAAATTGAATTGTAAATAAATGTTACAAACATTAAATGAGTTTCAGACTAGACTTATTAAAGAAGAATCATCCAGGAAACATACTTTTCGGACTGGACTCTGACAAAGTATGCTCACAGGATGTTCCTTCTTTAATTTCTTATATTAGTTCTCTTCATATCAGTTCTTACACAATGTCTGATGCTGTTCAGTGCCATGAGCTTACACAGCATGTTTTTGCAGGCACTTTACCAACATATTCTGGCAAGGAGACTCAGTTGCAACATGAAGGAAAATACCTCTTGTGGTAAACTCCCATCGTGTTCACTGTTCATCAGAAAGGAACAATTCATTCTGTGACTCCAATTATTTTAGATCCTAACTGACAATAGTAATGCTCCTTAGCAACTAAACTGACTTTTAATTCTGTCAATCCAATGTTAGATACCAGGACTTGCAGTGTGCTTATCTTCCAGAGGCATCCTAACAATACAATCAGAATCTTGATGAAAACTGCCATTTATTGTGAGAAGGGAGGATCGAGATTGTCACACTGAAAGTGTCCAATAAATCTATTATACTTAAATGGGGGGGGGTCTTGTAGTTCTCCCAATGTCGTAGGTGTACATATCCCAGCATTCAGCTAATATCTCTAATGGTGAAGAATGATGAGAATTGTTGGGAGTTTTTGTGACCGCTGAGTCAGATGAAGAGATGTTAAGAAAGAAAAGCAAAAAGATGCAAAGAAAATCATGATGGAACAAAAGGAAGAAAACCCCAATCATAATATACTCTACCTTTTTTGCATTGGAATGTACAGTATATGCTGCCACCTCCTTTCTCAACTGCATTCTTTATGCTTATTGCTTAATCCACCTTTCAAATTGCCAGCACCTTAAAGAATCTTTTGTGATTCACTGTGCAAATGACAGGGCTGGATTAACATTTTATTCTTTTAAACTCTAACCAGTTTAACAACCCTGGAAATGCAAAGGAAAGTATTCAACTTTCCATCTTGACCACACATATTTATAATAATGGTTTAGTTGATTGGAATTTACAGTTCTCTCAGTAGTTTGCTATGTTTTAGGCAATATTAAATACATCTTTTTTTCAGCTCATGCTTCATATGCCTGAAGAAGCAGTTTCAGTATTCTCTTGATAAAAGACAGAGATGAGAGGAGTAGAATAGTGGTGCAGCCATAGGGGAGAAATTATCATCACTAACAATGCATTTTATCTGTTCTGTTAAAGTTTGCAATGTGGAGTCATTTTGCTGAAAGCAAAAGACTGGATTTTTTAAAAAATACAAATTAGAATGATAATTTGCTGCATTGCAACCCTGATTTTTGGATTCTTCTCACCTCATGTGCCCCATAATATGAAAGCTTTTATAATTCAAAAGCTTGAATTTTATTTTAGTGCCTATCTGCCTATCTCCCCATATATAGTAGTACTGGAAAAGAAAACAAAGTTAAAGTATAAATAAAAAGAAAACCAGGAGGGGGTGGAATTCTAAGCTTATTTTCTGAACAAAAGGAATAACAATGCAATTTACTTTGTTGTTACAAGATGGTCAAAAAAATGAGAGGGCACACTGGAGGTTGAAGCTTCCTATGTGAACATTATAAGAGCAAGAATCTAACTTGAGTGAGGATTAGTAAAATAGGACTTAAAACAGAAAAGCGATTTAGCCACAGGAACTACACTGTACGGTGGGCAAAGCTTAAAGACAGCTGATCAAAGAGTCAAAGTATTTATTTATTTATTTATTGGTTGATTTATATGCCGCCCTTTTCCGGAGACTCAGGGCAGCTTACAATGCTTTTAAGCAATAGCCTTCATACTTTTGTATATACATGCTTAGGAGGGCTTTCGCCCTCCCCCCCCCCAAGCGGTATCTTTTTTATACAAAGTCAGCTTATTGCCCCCACAAATCGGGTCCTCATTTTACCTACCTTCGAAAGGATGGAAGGCTGAGTCAATCTTGAGCCTGGTGAGAATTGAATTCGCAGTAATTGCAGGCAGCTGGTGTTATCTTAACAGTGCTTTAGTCTGCTGCGCCACCAAGGCTCTTCTACATGTGTTCTAGATAAGTGTGTGCTTAAGAAGAAAGACCTTAGGAAGTGACCCCACATTAGCAGTCCCTTGTGCAAAGAACAGGCAGAGTGTCAGACAAAAAAAAAAAGATGAGAATAATTATGTATATAAACACTATCACCCCTTCCAGGCATGAGGCCATGACAGTGACATAGTGATGTCACCAACCTCTGAATTTGTATCTCCAAAAGGACACTCATAGCAGTTGTCCAAATATGCCTCCTAAATTTTCTTCCTGAATCCGTCTCTCTCGTGAAAGAGAGGCTTATATGCAGTCTTGTGTTGCTTGTGCTGCTCTGTCTATCTTAAACTGGTCTCAGTTGCTCTCAGGTGTAAGCAGCACACACCCTTCCAGAGATGAAGTAAGATTTAGCTTCCAGTTCTCAGCTGGCAACCTATTCAACTGCAGCAGATGGATGAAAAGGAGAGAGGAGTGTCTTGGGCTTTGCCTCATGCAGCAAAAGATTTCATCTGGCTCTTTTGCTTAGACTGCAATCCTACCAACTGCTGCTGGCTTCACATTAAAAATCCCACTTGGAAATTTGCTTTGAACAATAAAAGGCACTTCTAAATAAATTAATGGTAACTGGCTTGGTTGGTAAGCATGAATACGACACTATTTTTAAAAAACCCTGGCAATAACCAGATGTAAACAGCCAATATTGGAGTGTCAAAAAAGAAAAGTTTACGAAGTCCGAAATAAAGCTTAACTATAAGTCCCCCCCCCTCTTTTTTAAAAAAACAACAACAGAGTGACAAAACACAACCTACACCATTGTCCTCTCTAGTTAGAGAAGCATAGGCTAGCATACAGCTCTCTGTTGACTATAAAAGCACTGGGCTCCGGGAAAAAGCTCAGATAGAGAGCTGCTGTCAATAAGGTAATAAATAAATTGATCATTTATGAAGGCTGAGAGGGGAGAGCCAATTATGGCGGATTATGGACCTGGCTGGGATTACGGAGACCTGGTTGGGATTACGGAGACCTGGTTGGAGGGGGGGTTCCCCTAGTTGAAATGTGCCCTCCAGGCTTCCGTGCATTTCATCAGCTGAGGGCCCAGGGGAGGGGTGTGGGAGTAGCGGCAATTATTACAGAAAGTCTTTGTCCAAGGGAGGCCACTGTTCCTCAGATAGCCAGATGTGAGTCCCTTTTTGTGAAGTGGGGTCAGAGCTCCTGCCCTTTGGAATGAATTGCCCCCGGATATTCGTAACATCTTTGACCTCCGGGTCTTTCGCTGTGCCCTCAAGACCCTACTGTTCCAATAGGTGGGGCTGTCTAACTGAATTATTTTAAATTGGGTTTTCAATCTTGAGTTTTAAAATTTGGCCAAAACTATTTAATGATTTTAATTAATTTTAACTATAATATTGTATATTTATGTTTTAATTTCGGCTGTACACCGTACCGAGTCCTTCGGGAGAAGGGCAGTATATAAATAAAATTATTATTATTATTATTATTATTATTATTATTATTATTATTATTATTTATTGGTTAATCTTTAGTGAGATTCACAGCCTTTGAGGCTGGTTAATAGCTCAGCAGCTCGAGTCCTAACCAAGGACCTAGGAACTGTTAAGGTATCGTCAGAGGATGTAAGCTGTTCCGAGTAAGGTGGTTTTTTGTAGAGTCAAAATGTTCAAGTCCGGCAAATTTAGAATTTCTAAATAGCGGGGTAGCCCTTTGGGTATTGCTCCGAGGGCTCCAATTACAATCGGGACAACACACGATTTCTTTTTCCACAGTCGCTCAACTTCAATTTGTAAGTCCCGGTACTTTGTGATTTTTTCTTGCTGCTTATCTTCAATTCGTGCATCACCAGGTATTGCAATGTCAATGAACCATACTTTTTTCTTTTCAACTATTGTTATGTCAGGTGTGTTGTGGACCAAGTGCCTGTCAGTCTGAATCCTAAAGTCCCACAAGATCTTGAGTTTCTCATTCTCTAAAACTTTCTCAACCTGATGTTCCCAGTGGTTTTTGCTGTACTCAAATCCAAACTTCTGGCACAATTTCCAGTGAATGATTTTAGCAACACGGTCATGGCGTTGTAGGTAGTCAGTTTGTGAAATTTTGCTGCACCCACTGATCAGGTGGTCAACTGTCTCTTCTTTCTCATTGCAGAGGCGGCATTTGCTGTTGGTGGTAACATGTTGAATTTTTGCCTTCATACAGTTTGTGGCTAGGGCTTGTTCTTGAGCTGCCAAAATAAAGCTTTCTGTTTCTTTTTTCAGTACTCCTGATCTTAACCAGTTCCAAGTTAGTTTCTGGTCAGCTTTGCCTTCAATACTTTTCAAGTATTGGCCATGCAAAAGCTTTGTGTTTCCAATTTTCAGCTCGCTGCTCAATTACTTCTTTCTTATATTCTGCTTTTGTTTTAGTTGTCTTTAAAAGGCCTCCTTTATTTACTTCCTTAATCATTGGTTCTTCACTTTTCTGGATGTAACCATTCAAGCTGCATTTTTCTTCTTCCACAGTCTGCTTTACTTGTAGGAGTCCTCGACCACCCTCTGCTCTTGGTAAATATAATCGGTCAACATCACTTATTATTATTATTATTATTATTATTATTATTATTATTATTATTATTATTATATGGGTAGTCCCAAAGTCCCTGATTTATTCATCTCTGATTTAATTAGTGAAATTAAATGGAATTAATAGAAGTGTCTTCTGCTTGTACAAATGTGATGCTATATCTCAGTAAATGAAACATTTTTTTTAAAGGAAGACGACTTTGGGGGTCTTTGAGTGGCCTTATAATACATTATGGCAGCACCTAAAATAAGATAAAATAAAACAGGAGTCTAATAGGCTTTTGAATAAATTTGGAATTTTGCAAGCACACAGTAAACTTTCTCACAAAATTGTGGATTATGGCAAAATAACCATTTATGAGAAGGCAGCATTTAGGTTTCCGATATACTCTCTCCGGCTTACTTGCTGTTTTGTCTGTCACTCCTCTAGATCAGCAGTGTCAAACTTGTGGCCAATGAGCTGGATGTGTCACACATTGGCCAAGCCCATCCCTGTTTTAGCAAAGGTGGGGAAGTCATGATACATCACATAAGGAAAACGTGACAACGCAAGTTTGACACCCCTGCTCTAGACAAAGAACCATTTTATTTTCTGCATAACTTCTGGAGACCACATGAGGTTCATAGGCATTCTTGGGAAAAACATTAGATATTAGATGCTAGATCCTAAATATTCAATGTTGTAGCTAAGTTAAAAGAATTTTTTTAAAAAGGTAAGAGGCAGCAAGATCCAGGGAAGTGATAAAGGAATTTCCATAAACATATGTAAATACGCCCAAATATATTTTGAGGTAAATAGGTGATAGGTAGATATCTGTTCTTCTATCTTTATGTCTGTCTGTCTCTGTCTTTATTTCTGTCAGTATATTATCTCTCTATCTACCTGTATGGTTATCTAATTAGCTTATACTCTGCGTTCTATTTTAACATACTCTAAGTTATAAAATGTAGTTGGGGATTTTATAATATACTGATAGCAACTATATATGAAATATAATTCCAATATAACCAGATCAACTCTGTCTCCTTGAAGAAACAAAGTGAAATTCTAATTTCATAAATATTAAACCATTTGGGAAGTCCATTCTGTCAAAGACACCTAATTTTAAATGGCAACATATTTTCTGGTCCAAATGACCCATATTTCTAATACAAGTTTAACAAGCTTCCATAGCATAAAACTGAAAGTAGCCCTTACACAATCAGAAATTTGGAAGGAGCTGGTCTATAGAATTGCTGGAGTGAAAGGATAGTATTGTCACCATTACTACAAAATAAGTCCCAATTGCCTTCAGATCTTAAATATTGTCTAGATCCTAAAAGCTATTTCCCTGGCTACTGAATTCCCCACCACAGCTGCAATGAAACACAGTTCACAATCATTTTTGTTTCACACATCTATTCCATGCAGATGGATTCTTCTAAACTCATATAGTTACAAATAAAACTGTACTGCCATCTAGTGACAAATTTGACACTGAGCACATCAAGATCTACAATTCCAGGCAGTTTATACCAGTCTAGCACAATTACCTGCTGACCTAAATAATAATTATCCCATATCCTGGAAGACTGCAGGTTGCAGAAGGCTGTCCTATACATTTATATTAAAGTGTTCTCATTGAGGAAAATACAATTGCTTTATTTTAGCCAAAATTAATAATATTTTAAGAAGCTAGAAGCATAATCCACCCAAGACCCATTTTACTCCAATATTCAAATAAAATAAAATCTTTATTATGGTCATAGACCAGCATAAGAAGGGTAAAATACAGTTAGCAATTTTAAAAGCTAAAAGGAATATAAAATACAAAGTTAAAAAATGTTTTAATATATAAAAATAAAAATCTTTTTAAAAAACTATAAAGTATCTCTTCACCTTCCATATCTTGCTTCAACATCCCTTTTCACTCCTTTGTCATATAATCGTGGAACTGCTTTCCTGACCAGTTTTTATAGTTTTTCATTTTTCGAAAAATTAACCTAACTGTGCTGATGGTGGCCTATCAAACCTTACCAGGATAAATGCTTATTTATCTTTTGGGCTTAGGATGTTGATCAAAGAATTTGCTATAGGTCCATGATGGCAAACCTATGGCAACGTGCCAGATGTGGCACACAGAGCCCTCTCTGTGGGCACTCGCACAGTTGCCCCAGCCCAGCTCCAATCATGTTTCTCCATTGTATTTCATTCAATCAATTCCAACTTCTCGCGAAAGAAAAAGATTTCGCAAAGTTGGAATTGATTGAGTGAATTTTTTCACTTTTTCACTTGCACGCTTCATAATGGGGGAGATGGGGTCCCGTCCTCCTCCTGAAGCCATTATGGCATGGAGCCACAATACAACCCTGTGCCAGCTTGGCTCAGCAAAAAAAAAAAGCAGTTTCTTTTCCTTCAGAGCTGCCAATGTTGGGATGACCCGTTTCCCCGCTGGCCGGCTGGGCTAATTGCTTGGATACCTGTTAGCTCCGCCTCAGAAAGTGGCGCACAAAAGTTCGGCCAGGCTCCTTGAGAGACTGAGTTTTCAGGAGGCCATCTAGCACCTGGGCAGGCTACAACACAAACGTTCATTTTTGGCTTTGAGATTCCTAGCTTCAATGGGCAGCAAAGCTGGGTTTGTCCTCCTGCGCTGATCTGGCAGACAAAACAGGAAAAAGGAGCAGAGAGAAATAGTCCTATTGCCAAGGTACGCGTGGGTCAGAAGGGGACAGAAATTCCAACTTCAACCTCCTGGTGAATGTGGGTCTTTGGGCGAAGGCTAGAGAGAAGCACCGCTGGCTCACTCGCACTCTCTCCCTCCCCAGTCTATCTTGATGCAGGCAGCCCTTTCCAAGCCCGCTGTTGGTGAAGCTGGGCACCAGTGAGGGCTGGCTTTTTGCCTAGCTTTGTGTGGCTGTCGGGGGGAAACGGACGGGGGCCTAGGGAGGAAGCCTGCATCAAGCTAGCCTGGGAAAGCTGGCTGTGAGAGGAAGAGAAGCCGGATGAGCCAGATCCAGATGCTTCCTGGGTCCCTTCGTCCCAGATGCAGCAACCTCGCACTCTCCTCTTTCTGCTAGCCCCCTTCTTCACACGGGATCGCCCAGCAGCAGGAATGGAGAGGGAAAAGGGGGCAGCAGCAGCCGCTAGAATTGAGGGGAGAGTGCCATACAGAAACAGGGGCCTGTAATGGAAACCTGTTCAACACTTTTGTGCTTTAAATAGGTTGTTTTCATATTCCCTTGCTTATGATTGCTACTGTTACCACATGTGACTTTGAGTGGAATTCTTAAATTTATAAAATAACTTTTTTTTCTCTATAACTCTTCCTTATAATTTTATTTCATCTGTAAGCTTTACAATACACCAAAGAACATCTATTTGGATAAAATTATTTGCTTTATGGTTCTGTATTTTTCCCCATTCAGGGAAAAAGAAACTTAGTGAAATAAAGGATAGGGCAGAGGTCTGCAACCTTAAACACTCAAAGAGCCATTTGGACCCATTTCCCACAGAAAAGAAATCACCGGGAGCCACAAAACCTGAGTGGGCATGGCCAACTCGACGTCACTCTGTCCCACCAAGTCACGCTTACCCAGGTTTTGTGGCTCCTGGTGTTTTCTATGGGAAACAGCTCTCTCTCTCTCTCTTTTTCTCTCTCTCTCTCTCTCTTTTTCTCCCTCTCTGTCTCTCTTTCTCTCTCTCTCTCTCTCTCTCTCTCTCTGTCTCGTGTGTGTGCGTGTGTGTGCGTGTGTGTGTGTGTGTGTATGTGCGTGTGTGTTCCCTCTTGAACCATTTACAAAAACAGGCAGGGGTTGGTGTTTTTCTTTTTTGCTGATGTTGCTCTTTCTTCTTCTTTGGGTGCTTTTTACCATATTTAAATCAGGAGTCATTTCAGGTTCCCAGATATAATGAAGCTCTTTCATCCCCCTGCTGTGGCTTTCTATTGGCTGAACCCACCACTGGCTGGCCCCGCCCCTCGCCCTCCACTCCCAGTCACTCCTCGCCTGGCCTGAGAAGGTAATGGTGACAGTGGTTGATGGAGACTCGCTCCATATTCCAGAGCAGGAGTGAAGCATCCCTGCACTTGCCATATCTTGCAGGCGCTTCTTCCAGCCCTTGTTGGTGCTGCTCACACCTTGGTCGCTCGGGAAGATGCGCAACTTGCTCTACGCTCCAAGACATTGGCTCAGCCTGGCTGCGACCAAGGCCGCTGCTTTTGTCACCTTCATAGCCTGCCCGCTCCTCTCATAGCGCCATGCGCAGCAGAGTTAAATTTAGTGTGCTTCACAATGGGGGAGATGGTGTCTCCTCCTCCTCCTGGAACCCATTACGATGCAGAGCATCATCCACAACTGATGTGTCTCAGGGCGGAGAGCAAGTCGTGCATCTCCCCAAGCGACTGAGGTGCGCACAGCACCAACAAAGGCCGGAAGAAGCGCATGCAAGATATGTCAACTACAGGGATACTTGGGTCCTGCTCTGGAATATGGAGCGAGTCTCCATCCCCCACCGTCACCCTTATTTTCTCAGGCCAAGCAAGGAGTGACTGGGAGGGGAGACCGAGGAGCGGGGCCAGCCAGTGGTGGGTTCAGCCGACAGGGAGCCACAACAGGGGAATGAAAGAGCCGCATATGACTCCAGAGCCGTAGATTGCAGACACCTGGGATAGGGTAATAAATAACAAGCTTAGATTCTAAAAAATATAATATTCCCCAAGCACCAGTAAAAATCCTAACTATATAAAACATAATTCATTATTCAAAATATGAATCACAATGGGGATTTCACCCTGCCTAAAGCAAAATCTATCCAGCTTTGTAGCAATGGATTTTAAGATAGAAAATGTCAGAGAGCAATGTGTATTTTATATCAAATTTCAAGCACACCTGTAACAACAACAAAACCAACCATAAATATTTTCTTCCACTTGAAATTCCAAAGACATCAGAAAACTTTTTTTTATGTAACAAAAGACTTCAGTTTGGTATTGTGTGCTACATTAACCCGAAATTATCTAACATGTATGAATGTATCCTTCCCCAAATAATTATGTCAGTTAAAATTCAAATGTTGGGTTTTAACTTACATAATTCCAGTCAGTATTATGGGGTTGAAAGTCAGCACATGTGAAAGTCACCAAGATGTATAATCTAACAGGTACTTAAGAATCAAACTGATTTTTTTTTTATTTCTAGCAATAAGTTAACGTATCTGGATCCGTTCCAGTCGGGCTTCAGGCCCGGGTACAGCACGGAAACGGCATTGGTCGCATTGGTTGATGATCTCTGGAGGGCTCGGGACAGGGGGTGCTCCTCTGTCCTGGTCCTGTTAGATCTCTCAGCGGCTTTTGATACCATCGACCATGGTATCATGCTGCACCGGTTGGAAGAGTTGGGGGTGGGAGGCACTGTGTTGCGGTGGTTCTCCTCCTTTCTCTCTGACCGGTCGCAGTCTGTGTTGACAGGGGGACAGAGGTCGACCCCGAGGCCCCTCATATGTGGGGTGCCGCAAGGGTCGGTCCTCTCGCCTCTCCTGTTCAACATTTATGTGAAGCCGCTGGGCGAGATCATCCGTGGTTTCGGGGTGGAGTACCATCAGTACGCTGACGACACCCAGCTGTACATCTCCACCCCGGATCACCCCAACGATGCCCTTGAAGTGATGTCCCGGTGCCTGGAGGCCGTACGGATCTGGATGGGGAGGAACAGGCTCAGGCTCAACCCATCCAAGACTGAGTGGCTGTGGTTTCCGACGTCCCGATATAGTCAGTTGACGCCATCACTGACTATTGGGGGCGAATCATTGGCCCCCACGGAGAGGGCTCGCAACTTGGGCGTCCTCCTGGACTCACGGCTGTCTTTAGAAGAGCACTTGACGGCCGTGACCGGGAGGATTTTTCATCAGGTTCGCCTGATTCGCCAGTTGCGTCCCTTTCTGGATCGGGACTCTTTACGCACGGTCACTCATGCCCTTGTCACCTCCCGCCTGGACTATTGCAACGCTCTCTACATGGGGCTCCCCTTGAGGAGCACCCGGAGGCTCCAACTGGCGCAGAGTGCGGCCGCGCGGGTGGTAATGGGAGCGACATGGCGTTCCCATGTAACACCTCTCCTGCGCGAGCTGCACTGGCTCCCGGTGGTCTTCCGGGTGCGCTTCAAGGTTTTGGTTACCACCTTTAAAGCGCTCCATGGCTTAGGACCCGGGTACTTGCGGGACCGCCTACTACCACCAATAGCCTCCCACCGGCCGGTACGCTCCCATAGAGAGGGGCTCCTCCGGGTGCCGTCAGCCAAACAATGCCGACTGGCGGCCCCCAGGGGGAGAGCCTTCTCTGTGGGGGCACCTACTATCTGGAACGAGCTCCCCCCAGAGATACGGAGGATCCCGGATCTGCGCACCTTCCGCCGCGCCTTAAAGACCTTACTATTTCACCAGGCCGGCCTGGCCTAATTTTCCCCCTCTTTTATAAAAGATTTTTAAAATTTTAAATATTTTTTAGTATTTATATATTCAATTTTAAATTGGTTTTAAAAGTTTGGGGTTTTAAATTTGTCGGGGCCAAAATTATTTAATTTGATTTTATTCTATTTTTTAAATTTTGTATTGTATGTGTTTTTATTGTTTGGCTGTGCACCGCCCTGAGTCCTTCGGGAGTAGGGCGGTATAGAAATCTAATAAATAAATAAATAAATAAAATGAACAATTCTCCATTGTAGGAATAATGTCAGATATGTCTGGTTTGGAAAAGGTCAATGCAATGATTCCACTTACTTCAAATATGCCCAGCAAGAAGGAAACGGTGTGCATTTTTGGAACAGGTGATTTTGGAAGATCTCTGGGCTATAAGCTGATGCAATGCGGCTATTCCATTGTTTATGGGAGCCGAAACACTCAAAACTCTGGATTGATTCCTCAAGGAGCCACAATCCTACCTCATGCAGAAGCTGCTGAAACATCTGAGGTTATCATTGTAGCAGTCCACAGAGTGCATTACAGCTTTCTTACAAGCCTACAAGAAATCCTTGATGGAAAAGTGTTGGTGGATGTGAGCAATAACCTTAAAATAAATCAGTATGCAGAATCAAATGCTGAATATCTTGCCCAGCTGCTTCCAGGCAGTAAAGTGGTCAAAGCATTTAATACGGTGTCAGCATGGGCCCTGCAGTCAGGCGGCTTGGATGCCAGTAGACAGGTAAGAGCATCTCAGATGCCAAAGGCTGCTGGAGATGGAAATGTTGTGTGTGTATATGGGTTGAGATAAGGATCTGGCCTGAACAAGGAGCAGATTTTGTGTAGCTATCACTGGAAGGAGATTTATTTACAAAAATACATTATGCAGATTACACCTAACCTCTGAACTAGAACATACACATGAAATTAAATGCAGGTTCATGACCAGAACAGCAGGCCTTTCCTTTTTACCCCTCCCAAATGAAGAGTTCTGGGAAACCAAAAGCTTGCACACTATTTTGTGATTCTGAATTGGCTTAGTACAGTTTTTAATATTTTATTTAATTTTCTAAGCTGACCAGAGAATTTAATTAGTAGATCAGCAGCTACAGTGTAAAAAAAATTGCCTTTTTTCCCTTATAATAATTTTATTGTCATTGTACATGTATACACAGGATACCCATACAACGAAATTCACCTAACACCCAAAGACCAGGCCCAACACACATAACAATCCCCAAACACACTCCCACCCACCACAATTCCCCACCCCTAAACCACCCAAACATCCACACAACAGACCAAGTAATGCTGTCCAACAGCTCACTGATGGTGGCCTTTTAGTTCATTGTTGAGTGCAATTATAGCTCTGGGATAAAAACTATTCAGAAAACGTGTGGTCCGAGTTTGAATTGTTCTGTCTATTGTCTATAAGGACAATTTAATTGTCCTTATAACTAATCTAAGTAGCTGCTTTTTATATCTGTTGTTATTACCAAGAGAAAGGGTGAGACACTTAATACTTTGGCAGACTAAGATGTAAAGCAGTGGAAGAAGCTACAGCTGCTGTCAATAGAAAGTAGTTGTGCCTGTGTCATGCTCTACAAACATGCAGTCTATCTAGCTGCACCCCAGCAGGTGCAGAATCTGAGGCCTGAAAACGTGTACCTGAAAAGGAAGGCAGTAGGTGACCTGAGATGAATCTCTCAGGCAAGAAATACAAAATAAACATTTAACTATCTCTCTACGCCATATTTTTCACCTTGTGGTCATTAAGTCGTGAGTTTTGAACAAACATTGCCATTCATAGCTCCAACAAGCAAAATCACATTTAAATCTTCTCTTTGTTTAGCCAGTTAATTATTATTTTTTCTTTCACATATGTAATGTATGGCAAGTAGATGTAGAAGCTTATAAATCTTGGACCTACTTTGCAAGGGGGGAAGCTAATATTTTTGCAATAGATTTGTCAATGTTAAACTAGGGAAGATGTGGTTTTTGTTTTATTCTTTTTAATTCACATTTTTTAATGTTCTTGTCTAGTTTTGTTTTAGCTCGTAGGTTTTTTTTTTTTTTGAATAAAATAAAAAATTGAAGTTAAAAAATATACTTAATAAAAGAGGACAAAGAACATTTTAATATTTTAAGAATGGTTTAACAAAAGACCTCACAGAGTAAATCTAGAATATCTTTAGTTTAATGTTGGTCCAAAAAGTCTATTGTTATCCCCAAAGATCTCTACACTGACTAATTTCAGTTTCAGTCAAAATTCTGGCCAACTTTCTCAAAAGTTAATTAATAAGCTAAGAGACATCAAGACAGGTTGACTTACTAGGTTAATTTCTTTTTATTTTTGTTGAAGCTATGGGACTTTATTTTACTTTGCTTTGCAGGTATTCATCTGTGGAGATGATAGGAAAGCAAAAGAAAAGGTGATAGAGATTGTTCGGAGTCTTGGTCTTACTCCTTTGGATAAAGGTTCTCTCTTAGCATCAAAAGAAATTGAGAATTATCCTTTACAACTTTTTCCAATGTGGAGATTTCCCATCTACCTCTCTTTTGCTCTCACTGCATTCATCTTTTTATACTCTGTTGTCCGTGATATCGTCTACAATCACGTTGAGAACAACAAAAATTATTCATTTTTTATTGTTGTTACAATTGCAAACCGGATCTGCCCCGCTGTGGCACTCATTCTTCTTGCATTGGTCTATTTACCTGGGATCTTTGCAGCTATTCTCCAATTATACAGGGGTACAAAGTACAGTCGCTTTCCTGATTGGCTGGATAAATGGATGCTTTGCCGGAAACAACTGGGATTGGTCGCCTTGGCTTACGCTTTCCTACATGTTTTATATACACTGATCATCCCCATTCGTTACTATGTAAGATGGAAGGTCAATTCTTATGTCCTTGATCTGGTAAGACAGACTTATGCACTTTTTTCTCCCATTTCAATATCTGGTACAATACTGGAGGAAAAGCAGAAATCCTGTTTTTCCTTGCTGCCCTCACCCTAATGCAAACATTTAAGGAGGAAATGGGGTAAAGGCTCTAATAATTTCCCAAACTTCAGGGATGCCCTGAATAGTTTCAGCATTTTCAGCCCATTTCAGATACTGTCATAAAATGCGGAAATTGCATCAAGTTCCTATAGACTTAGCAAAGGAATGCTAAATTATTTCAGATCCAGCTCATAAGTGTCACATAATTAGAGCAGTAGACACTTCTCTGTTACCTCCTCATTATTCATGTCCTTTTGGCCATCATATCAAGTTGAAACCTCTTATTTATTTTATTTGATTTATTTGATTTATATACTGCCCTACTCCCGAAAGACTCAGGGCGGTGAACAGCCAAACAGTAAAAAAAATAGATACAAAATTTAAAAACAAAGTAAAATTGAATTAAACAATTTGGCCCAGACAAATTAAAACATCCCAATCATTTAAAAACCAATTAAAATTTGCATAATCAAAAAGAGGGAAAAGATTAGGCCAGGCCCGCCTGGTGGAATAAAAAGATCTTAAGAGCATGGTGGAAGGTGCGCAGATCCGGGATTCTCCATATCTCCAGGGGAGCTCGTTCCAGATAGTAGGTGCCCCCACAGAGAAGGCTCTCCCCCTAGAGGCCGTCAGTCGACATTGTTTGGCCAACGGCACCCGGAGGAGCCCCTCTCTATGAGAGCGTACTGGCCGGTGGGAGGCTATTGGTGGTAGTAGGCGGTCCCGTAGATAACCAGGTCCTAAGCCATGGAGCGCTCTAAAGGTGGTAACCAAACCCTTGAAGCGCACCTGGAAGACCACTGGGAGCCAGTGCAACTCGCACAGGAGAGGTGTTACATGGGAACGCTATGTCGCTCCCATTACCACCTGCGTGGCCGCACTCTGTGCCAGTTGGAGCCTCCAGGTGCTCCTCAAGGAGAGCCCCATGTAGAGAGCGTTACAATAGTCCAGGCGGGAGGTGACGAGGGCATGAGTGACCATGCGTAGGGAGTCCCGATCCAGAAAGGGACGCAACTGGTGAATCAGGCGAACCTGATGAACAATCCTCCCGGTCACGGCCGTCAAATGCTCTTCTAAAGACAGCCGTGAATCCAGGAGGACGCCCAAGTTGCGAACCCTCTCCATGGGGGCCAATGATTCGCCCCCAATAGTCAATGATGGCGCCAACTGACTATATCGGGATGTCGGAAACCACAGCCACTCGGTCTTGGATGGGTTGAGCCTGAGCCTATTTCTCCCCATCCAAATCCGCACGGCCTCCAGGCACCGGGACATCACTTCAAGGGCATCGTTGGGGTGGTCCGGTCTTGATCTGAAACCATCTCAATTCTGACAAAATTGAGTGGCTGTAGATATTTGGGCAATCTGGTTCTGAGTAATCTTCATCTTTATCCTTGGGTAGGGCAGCATCTTCCCATTTGAGAGGGGTATGCAATTTGTATGTTATTCTGTACTCACATATCCTGCTCAAAAAGCAGGTGGCAGTTGTGACTAGGAGATCCACAAATTCACCAAATGTGCCAGCTACACCCATTCCTTGGGTGCACAATGCACATGCATATTCATATGGGTATTTATCAAATATTTTTCTTCTATCATAAAGAACCATCCAACTTTGAAAATTGTGCTAAATTGACCAAGACCAATTGAAGGGAACAAGTCCTTAATGTCTTCATCTTTTCTTTATCATTATTGCTGTGTGTGGTAATTTAATGCCCAAGGAGCCTGAGTGGCGCAGCAGACTAATGCTACTGTTAAAGGTAGTATTTAGCTTCCAGCTGCCTGCAATTACTGCGAGTTCAATTCTCACCAGGCTCAAGGTTGACTCAACCTTCCATCCTTTCTAAGGTAGGTAAAATGAAGAGCCGGTTTGTGGGGGCAATAAGCTGACTTTGTATAAAATATACAAAAGTATGAAGGCTATTGCTTAACGTCTTGTAAGCCGCCCTGAGTCTCCGGAGAAGGGCGGCATATAAATCAAAAAAAAAAAAGTGGTTCCCTAGGTGGCTCAGTGGCTAAGACGCTGAGCTTGCCGAACAGAAAGGTCGGCGGTTCGAATCCCTCATATAGGTCTTCTGCATGACCTATATGGGGGGTTGGACTAGATGACCTCCAAGGTCCCTTCCAACGCTGTTACTTTGAGAAGCTGCTTAACAATTTAAAAAAAACAACTTACTAATTTACTAAAAAGAATATACATGTCATAATGTTAATTTTTTTAAAAAAAAAATCCGATTGCTGCTATGATTCTAATACTGGAAGGCTAGTATCACTTCAATTTACAAAAACTGTCACAATCATCCTGAATAAGTACATTACGCAAGAGAGCTTATGATGTGCAAGATTTACTACACTTGAACTTCCCTCGTGACATATAGGCGAGCAATATGTTGCAGATCTGTTATGAAATTATTATACTCACATATATTTCTGTTTTCTATTAAGGCATTAAAAAACAAAACAGATACATTATGGACCGGCTGGGCCTGGCACAGTGATTCTTATCTTGCTTTGGGAATCTTAGGTTTTTTCCTGTTTGTTCTCCTCGGGATAACATCCTTGCCTTCTGTCAGCAACAGTGTTAATTGGAGAGAGTTTCGGTTTGTGCAGGTAAGATTCTGTTTGGCTAGTAAATTCATCTTGTTCTCATCCTTCTTTACCTATCAGGTGTAATTCACTAGGATTTAACTTAATCTTGGAGGAGGATTGTTTCCCCTCCAAACTTCAACAGTTTTTACCAGGCATTAAAACAACATGGGCAGGAATGGGCAAGGAATTTTACTAACATGCTCACCAAAGCTGTATTCTCTCTTTGAGAGATTAAATGTCATATTCTCAGAACTATGGCATCTTTCTCTTATCTCCTTCCCTCTAAATAGGTAGAACTTCGATTTTCATAACTCCTCTCTGGGAATTGTGAGCATTAAAGTTAAAATACAAGCAGAGTTGCCAAGTTCAAAATGCAAAGACTACTTTCTGTTTGCCCCAGCATGGAAAACAGCCTTGAAATTCTAATTCTTCCCCTTATTTTGATATATGTTCATGAGACTATTTATTGATCATATACATTAAGGCGACTGTGTTGTAGATGTTTGTATATGTGTGTATATAAATAGACACTGTAGCAAAGGGAAGGTTGCTGTTGATTCTTTTTAGATAAAAAGCTTATGTAAATAAATGTATTTCAGATAAATAAATGCATTATGTTATTATTAAGGCTTCCTATTTTTCATTTTAAGTATTTCAGTTTAATGCAAAAAAAGGGAACTGTCCTTGACATTTCATATTACTGAAATATTTATCTTATACAATTTAGGCACGCGAGCTCAGATCTGGAGCGCTTGCGGGCACCAGCCAGCTGATTTTTGGCCCTTCCGGGCCCACCGGAAGTAGGGAAACAGACTCTTTCCTGCCTCTGGAGGGCATCCGGGGGGTTGGGGAAGGCTGTTTTTGCCCTCCTCAGGTGCCTAGAAAGGCTCTGGAGCCTGGGGAGGGCGAAAAATGGGCCTACCGGGCCCATTGTGCCATTGCATGCCAAAGTGGAGAAGTGTGGGGGGGTCACGCATGCATGTGTGGGGGTGGGGCACATAGAATTATAGGTGTGGGCATGCATGTGCGCGACACCCCCTGCTCCCCCCACTTTTGGCACGCGATGGCAAAAAGATTAGCCATCACTGCCCTAAAAAATACATTCAGAAGTTAGTATTTGTTTGCTAACCATTGTTTTGTTTCTTTGTTTTCACAGTCCTATCTGGGTTACCTTACACTGGTTTTGTGTACTGCCCATACACTGGGATATGGTGGGAAAAGGTTCTTGAATCAACGCTCATACCCATGGGGCCTTCCTCCAGTTTATTTGCTGGCTCTCATTATTCCTTGCATTGTGTTGTTCATTAAGTTTTTCCTAATATTTCCATGTATAGATAAACCATTAACTGAAATTCGACAGGGCTGGGAGAGAAAATCCAAAAATATGAACCACTCAAACAGAAATCAGAACAACAAAGAAATATCATCTGTATAATTCCTTAATCCCCATTAATCTGTGTATTTTGGAAAGGACTGAGCATAGTCAAAGCACTAAGCAGTGGAGACACACTGAAAAAAGGATCTTGAGTATGAGCTTTTGTGAGTGACCGGGGAAGAACTTTATAAACCAAATCCATGACATTTGGAATGAGTTTCTGCATGTTTTCAGGATTATGCTCAGAAAACTGTAAAACTGTTATAGGATTGTCAGACCAGCAATAGCTTTCCAACCAACATATCCTATCTAAATACACTAAAAATATAATATGTACAGTGCCAAGCGTGCTACCCACATACAAATTGCATTTTCTTTCTATGAATATCTCTCATTAAGAAATTTCTTTTATCTATAGGAAATTATGATTTTATTGTGAGTTTAACAGGAGGGTTGCATAAGAAAACCCTACACTCTGCACTCGACAACCAAAAATGTGAACAAGAAATGCTAAATCCAATCTTACTAAAGTGCACTTAACAAAACATGAAAAAGTAATACAAAACATTGAAATATTCCCTGATTCTAATACAAATATTGCCTGCTGCAGACTAGCAGGAAGACACATGAAAGAAGCATTTTCAAGTGGTTACTTAAGGTTTTTTTTCCCAGATCAAGGACTAAGAGTCCTTTGAATCCACCCACACTCATCTTGCTACTTCCATTTTAAAGTTTTCTATGGTGAAATTTGTCTCGATTCAGAAAGTATCAGCCAAGAAAGCTGGTACAGACGCAAATTGGGACAGAGATCTAACATCAGATTTCACTTTCCAGATTCCACAGCCTGAGTATTCTTCTGTTAGCAAATGCCTAACAACATTTAACAATGTCAAATATTTTATGCTTCATTATCATGCATGTTTAAGTCAAACTCATAAGCTAAATCAATAACAAAGAAGCAATTTAATTCAAATTTCTTACTGTGTATTAACAAATTGTATTTGTATTGTATCCATAAAAATACATGTATGCTGTTTTCCAAGGTTTGGTTTCTAAATTTGTTTATCAGAATTTATACTTGATATGTTTCAAAAAATAAAATAAAATCCTTTGAAGGGGAAACATTTCTTAGTCATTCAGATACTTTTTGCTCTTGATCAGTAGAGAAGATTTAAGATCAACTATAAAGAGCAAGGAAGTATATTTTGAATAGGAGGACAAGAAAAGAATAATAGAATTTTATACCTAAGAGTTCTGCAAACAAGACCTTTAATAAAGTGATGGCTTTTCACCAAACAACACAGTGACAATTGAGAGTACTGAAATACAAATCCCCAAGACAAGTTTCAGTGAATACAAATTAAATCACACCAAAATTGACATCGCTGACTGAAGACAGAAAATATTGGTACAAAACAGGCATGGTATGCAACTAGTTTAGGCCACAATTTTTCTTCAGGGTTCCAGAGGATCTGTAAACTAATCTTGGTCAATCTGCCTTCTGACCAATCAGTCTAATATCAACCTGCTTGCTGGGAACCTGTGCCCACTTTGGCTGCTTGGACTTAGTTTCATCCCATCATAAACTGATACTGCCCCATTTTTTTTACTAATTCCCAAGTGTTTTATGTTGCACTGCCGCATTATGCAATCAGCAACATGAAACATATAAACATGAAAGCACAATGTAATATATGGTTTAATAAACCAATTAATGAGATGGGTGCCTGGAGAAGACCAAGATTTATTTCATTAGTAACAGAATAGAACTGACCAACTCCAATTCTGGCTTTGATGCTCTCTGAGAGCCATCTTGTTTTTTGCACATTTTCAATTAGCCAGCTGGCCTTTCCAGTTGCATCAGCAGCAAATTAGGAGAAATGCCAGAGGACTGGAGGAAAATAATTGCCCTATCTTCAAAAAGGAAGAATGAGAATCCAGCCAAATAAACATAAATGCCCTCAAATATTGTGGAACAGATGATAAAGAAAGCAACATGTAAGCTTCTATGAGACAATGGCAAAATTACCAGATGTCAACATAGATTTGTCAAGATCAAATCTACCATTATTGTTAATCAAACAACTTCCTTAGTAAATCATGGAAATGTTGTAGAAACTTTAATTTTAGAAAAATACTTTATATACCCGAGTTTCCTCGAAAATAAAACCTTATAAAAGTCTTATTTTCTTAGGGGCTCCAAAGTTAGCACTAGGGCTTATTTTGGGGAAATGTTTTATTTTTTTTCCCCATGTACTTTAAGAGTACATTAGAGACCCAGTTCTTCTGCTTGCTCACAGCGAGGCAGACGGCCGTGCAGCACACCAGTGCTGCCACAAAGCAGGGGTTGGAGCTGCCCCATGTGCCCAGCACCAGTTTACCTTAGGGCCCCTGCAGCCAAGACACCCATGTTCCGATACCTGCCTCGCTGCGGCGGCTCCAGCCCTGTCCAGCAGGACCTCGAGTGGCTGCCAGCTCACTTCTTCTGTTTGCTCAAGCGGCAGCAACAGAACAGGAAGCCAAGCAATATGCTGATGCCATTGCCGCGAAGTGAGATTGGGGGGTGGAGCTGTCCCATGCACCCCTCACCGGCTTACCTCAGGGCTCCTGCAGCCATGTCATCCACACCCCAACACCTACCCCACCTCACAGCCTTGGCACCAACACTTTGCTCAGCCTCCTACTCTGTTGCAGCCACACAAGTAAGCAGAAGTGGCCTGGCAGCCATGCAAGGTCCTGCTGGACGGGGCTGGTAGAGCCACAGCTGTGAGGCAGATGTCAGGATATGGATGGCCTGGCTACGGGGGCCCTGAGATAAGCCAGTGCAGGACACATTGGGCAATTCCACCCCACCTCACTTCATGGCCATGGCACCACAAGCAACCAGCCGGAATCGGCGGGCAGGCAGCTGCACAGGCACTTAAGTAGGGCTTATTTTGGAGAGTAGGGCTTATGTTGGGTGCACATACAAAAACTTCATAGGGCTTATTTTCAGGATAGGTCTTATTTTTGGCAATAGTATTACTACATGATATTCTCATGAGCAGACTAGGAAACGTGAAGCGGGTAGCATACTGACTTGAAAAAGCAAAGATGCTCATCAATGTTTTTTTATCAAATCAGAGGCATGTATTAAGTGTGGAGTGCAACAAGGTTCATTCTGAGGTCCAACATTTTTCAACAGGAAGTAATGCTTACAAATTTGCAGATGTCACAAAATTAAATGGGATTATGTAAAAGTGATATGTTAAAGGAAATAGATTTGATAAAATAAAATTTAATGAAGCTGAAAGCAAATTCTTTACTTATAGCTTGTGGGAAATGTATACCTTGGTAACAATAGCTGGAAGAAAAATCAACAACTGATTGCAAATTGTGTTTATTTGAAACAGATTTAAAAAAACAAATGCAGTTTCAGGCTGCATCAACAGAATTATAATTTCCAAGTCACAGTATGTTAAACTTTCATATATTTTGTATCGGTCAAACCCCACCTTTAATACTTTATCCAGTTTTGAATAATATATCTGAATCTTTCAGAAAAAAATTAATAAATTCAAAAAGTGAAAGTTGGATGCTAATGGATTAAAAATATGCAGAGAAGCTGAAGGTGCTGGAACATTTTGATTGAGAAAAGAAAATAGGTGATGTGGATGGAATATGACAGCACTCTTCAAATATTTGAAATATCGTCACACATAAAAAATATTAAGACCTGTTCTCTATTATATCAAAGTCCAGGAGAGGGGATAAGACATATCACTTTCAGGGAAGCAGTTTCCAAATGAATGTTGGAAAACAAATTTCCTAACAGTAAGAGTAATTCAGCTTCTCAGATGGTTGCTAAGACACCTTTCACTCAATGTGCTCAAAAACTAAACAAGTGTTTCTCAACCTTGGCAACTTTAAGATGTATGAACTTCAACTCCCAGAATTGCCAAGCCAGAATTATAATCAACCCAGGGGTGGGTTCTACCTATCTTTACTACCGGTTTGCAATGGGCCGCACACGTGCTCTTCTGCGCATGCGCAGAAGCGTTCTGATGATGTCGGGGTCAGTAGATGGAGCCTCCCTCCAGTTTTACTACTGGTTCTATAGAACCAGTCTGAACCGGGGGCAACCCACCACTGAACCAACCATAATTAAAGTATATTAGTCTACTATATACTTTATAGTCTACTATATTAGTCTACTATATACTTTATACTATAAATAAAAATTAAATAAATAGTATTCACAATATTATTTGGATTGTATTAAAGTTATACCAAAGGATAATGTATGAAAATTTAGAAAAATGAGCAAAATGTCTAAAATCAGCTTTAATTAGTGAACTATTGTTTACATTATTTAAATTCCAAACATATCTGAAAAAAACAAAATAATGCACATGAATAGTTAAAGAGTATGAACCAACAAGTATAATGTCATTGGATTCAATTCATTGTTACGGGACCTTCTCGTTACTCCCATGTGACACCTCTCCTGCGCAAGCTGCACTGGCTGCCAGTGGCCCTCCGGGTCCATTTCAAGGTGCTGGTATTAACCTATAAAGCCCTACATGGCTTAGGCCCGGGGTACTTGCAGGAGCATCTTCTGCCATCCTCCCATCGTCCCGTACACTCTCACAGAGCGGGCCTCCTCAGGATGCCGTCGGCTAGACAATGTCGGCTGGCAGCCCCCAGGGGGAAAGCGTCCTCTGGAATGGTTTGCCCACCGGGCTTAGGACAGCCCCCAACCTCCTCTCCTTCCACCGCGAACTGAAGACGTGGCTCTTTCATAAATTGGACTGACCCGTCTAGGGGTTTTTACATTGTAATAATTTTAATTAATTTTAACTGGATTTTAATTTACATTTAAATTTAAACTGTTGAATTTTATTCTTTGTAGCCGCCCTGAGTCCTTCAGGAGAAGGGCAGCATATAAATTGCATAAAATAAAATAAATAAATAAAATAAAAAGCACAACATGATGTGCCTAACTAGTAATTAACTGGTTACTAATAACTAACAGTTCTTTTGGCCTTAATTGAGTATGTGCCAGTTTCTGCATACAGAACAGAAATAGGTGTGCTCTTAGGTATACTTACTGTAGTTCTAGAGAGCTTATTTTGGAAAGCTTCCATGTCATAACGGTTAGAAATCTTCGTTAATTCAAATAGGATTTCATTCCTATAAACAAATGTTTAAACTCTCATCATTCAAGCTTAATTTTTAAAAAATCCATTAAGATCTACCAGAAGCAACATATAAACAATAACAACCTTGATCTTTAATCTCTTATAATTTATCATTTCTTTATCAAAAAAGAATTTATCATTTCCTTTTTTGTCTCCTTTCAGAAATTACTTTGCAAATAGAATTGCATTCCTGATACATTTTCCCCAGAAAACACTGAATAAAAAATACAAAATTTACTTCTAAGTAAATGTAGGACTAGCAAACCTGTGACATACCCATCATTGACTAAAACTGATCCAATGATTTTGCAAAAAGTGACACTAATTTAGTGTAAATCTTATAAATTAATGCATTAAAAAAGAATCAAAGATACAGAAATATGAAAAAGTGGCCTTGAACTACTCCTATGTAGGTTATCCATTGACCGTTAATCTTTTTAAAATAAGTATTTTGTAGTAGCACATTGATTTGGTTGTGTATAGGGCTGTTAGCAAATAATATTCTACAATATTTTCTGAAGATAAGTTATATAATGTGTGTGTGTGTAAAGATTAAATAATTTATATAAAATGCTAAACCATGATTTATCGAATAAACCTAATTGGCATTTTCAAAAATGACAACCTTAAAAAACTATCCATAGTCCTATAGGACTTAGCTTAAATTAATAATCGACTTACTGGGTTTGACTTACAAAATTTGGACTGGGACTTCCATATCTAAGCAAGATGGTTATTAAATGACTCACAACTGATTTTAAGGCCTTCTTTTGCCACAATCATTAAGCAAGTCACACAATTGTCACACAATTGTTAAACCAAATTTGGCTTGACATTGACATTGCTTGTTGAAAGCTGGTTGGGAAGGTCATAAATGGTGATCACATGACCCTGGGATACTACAGAAGTGATAAATACATGCCAATCACAAAATGTCCAAATTTTGAACATGTATTTGTGGGGACACTGCAACTATCATAAATACAAACACCAGTCATAAATCACTTTCTTCAACATTGTCAAAGCTTTGAACAGTTGATAAACATGGCTGTAAGTCAAGGACTATCTGTATTTCCCTTAAACCAGAGGTTTTCAAACTCGTGTCATCATGGCATTGTCATGTGAATGTATCATGAATTTTTTCCCCTTTGCTAAACAAGGTATGGGCAGCGTGGCCAGCACATTACGCATCTGGTCCATGGCCGGTGAGTTTGACAGCCCTGCCTTAAATCATCTTCATCATTATTATTTATTTATTTTATTTATTTATTTTATTAGATTTCTATACCGCCCTACTCCCGAAGGACTCAGGGAGTATTAGGATATTGCTACTTTCTTTTTGGTATGCATGCAATATTACAACAGTCATAGAAAAGGTGTTTGCACTACAGCACAACACCACCACTTTTTGTCCCTCTTCTACACAGGTGATGAATTAAAGGATGAAATCCTAGATGCTTATTTGGGGTACACGCTTCTAAATACGGTGGGATTTGCTGCCATATAAAGAACATGTCTGAAAGCAATCTTGGGAGATAATGTTCCACCAAGGCACATGGCACCTACTTCTGAGTAACGAGTAAGGCCAGCAACACGGTCAACGAGGAAGACCTGCGTTGAAGGATTAAATCCCACGGATTCCTAAATGGTAAAGCTCTGTATCTACGTTTGGCATGACGATGTAGTAGCTTATTCTTCCTTTCCGACGTCCCGTATCATCCTTGGAACGTTCATAAAGCAAATATTCTTAATTATCCACGCGCGCATGCATTTGTTAATTCCTCCTCCGGAAACTGTCATCTAGGATATTCAATACTTAGTTTCACCACCTCAAACATAGTTTCAATTTAAAAAATAAAGGACATCCGGCTTATACCATTCTCATCAGAAAAGAGGAGGGAGCTAATGCTTAGGTGCTTCGCCCAATTTTATACAAGACGGGCAAGGAATGGAGAGACCGAACGACAAATCCATGGGCAGAAACGGCGCGCCCCGCGCAGTTTCCCCTCGGAGAAACGTTTTCCAATCCCTTCCTTTCGTGACAATGGTTTGATCCGGACTTCCTCCGATTTGCAGCGTCGAGAGGTCACAGGGAGGTTGCCGGTGGTTTGCGAAGAGTAACTAATTGCAGGCGATGGCGTATTCTGGTCCCGGAGGTGGCTATTACCAGGGAGGGGTAAGGCAATCTTGAAGCGCAAAAGAGCCTCCTCGGACCGGACCGGGCTCCCGCGGGGAGTGGTTTGACTTCGCTCGTGGAAAGCGGTTTGCCTGATTATGTTAGCTGTAGGGATGTGGAAGATGGTACCGCGAAGGGAGGAGAAAAACCTCTCTGAATTAACCCAGAGCCACTTTAAAGGCCACCCAAAGCCGCTTTAAGGGACCCTCCAGCGGGACCTGACTTGATGGGATCTGGTGGAATTTGCAAATTTGCAAACCGGAACCACGCGCGATGGGCGCTTAGAAAGTCCCGCTGCCGATTTACAGGAAGACTCGAAAAAGCCTCCGCCCTCCGTAAAATTCCACAGGGCTCTGCTAATAATCGTCGGTACAACTGATCGGGGTTTGCACATTTCGCTAAACCGTATTTTTCTGGATCTTTGATTTATCCAGTAAGCTATTGGTTGCTCGGTAACCAGTACCTAGCATTCAGCAAATAGATCGACATACTAAGCTAAAACGGTTGTGTTTTTAGGGCAAGGCCTATTGTGCAATTTCTAGAGGCTGCTAGCTAAGGGGGAAGGAAGCAAGGCATCTATAGTGATCTGAATAAAGATAGGTCATACCTAAACAAAAGGCAACCCTGAATCTTGACTTCGATGCAGATCCTGTGTGTTTTAGCGAATTAATTTTAATTTCTGTGTGTACCAAACTATAACTTTTCAAGAGTTAAACGAATGCCACCTTCTTTGAATTGGGATCTCCAGGCTTCTACTTAACGTGTAATTTGCACAGTATTGCAAAGAAATAGATTATTCTATTTGCATCATAGTACTCTAAAATATGGAGTAAGGTGGATGGGGGGTTTGAATTGTATTATCTTAATTTCTGGCAGTATGATTTATTTATTATTTTATTTATTTAATTATTTTGTCAACAAGTACAAGGAAACAAGTATCAGTACAGACATAGACATGGACACATGAAAAAATGGCACAAATAAATGGATATAAATAAGCAAAACTTAGCCATAAACACATAAAATGAGTATGTATAAATGGGGACAGTAGGACAGGGATGGTAGGCACGCTGGTGCGCTTATGCACCCCCCCTTAGGGAACCTGTTAAGCAGGGGTGAAATGCTCCCGGTTCGGACCTGCTCGGGCGAGTAGGTAGCGATGGTGATGGGCAGTTCGGAGAACCAGTAGCAAAAATCCCTGCCCCTGCCCCCGCCCCCTATGCCCAGCTGAGCCGCGCGATCATCAGAGCCTTTTTTTCCTTTAAATGGCTCTGACAAGCCAAGCTCTGATGATCCCAGCTGAGTTGCCTGCTAACTAGCAAAAATCCCTCTCCCCCCAGCCTCCAGCTTGCTTACTTTAGCTGCTGGTCGCAACGTCTGCCTTGCTTCGCTTGCTGTAATCCCTGCAATCCATTGCATCAGCAAGCAACTGAATCTCTCTGCCTGCAATTAAGCTCATCGGTGAGCAGCTCTATCTGCCTGCCTGCCTTCCTGCCTGCCTTGTACGTCTTATTGCAGGGGTCTCCAACCTTGGCAACTTTAAGACTTGTGGACTTCAACTCCCAGCAAAGCTGGCTGAGGAATTCTGGGAGTTGAAGTCCACAAGTCTTAAAGTTGCCAAGATTGGAGACCCCTGTTCTATTGGGTAAGTTTTTTTCTCCTTTGGGAGCTTTAAAAAAATAGTTATTTGGGGATTTTTTTAGTTGTTCTTTTTTTAGACCTAGCCATTTAAAGTTTAGGAAGTTTTAAATTTAGCTGCTTTTATATAAAAATAAAAATTAATTAAAATAAAATAATATTTGTGCAGCTTTCTGAGATTTAGTGTGTTTCTGTAGTCTTTCATTCTAACTACACAAACGCACAAAATCTCACAAAGCTGTATGTGGTGTGTGTAAAGTGTGAAAGTTGATTTTTTTGGGCTTCTTGTGGCTGTGTGAGGTTCCTGCTTGTTGCAGGGGCCATTTTGGGTCTAGCACAGCTGCTTTTACATTGTGGGTGAGCCAGTTGTGTTGTGTTTTGTAGGTTAAAAAAGGGCAAAGAAGTGACATTGACTTGGCCACGTCCACCCAGTCACTTTACCACCAAGCCCCACCCACTAATTAAGCCGCGCCCACAGAACCGGTAGCAAAAAAAATTAGATTTCAACCCTGCTCTTAAGAAACGTGTAAGGTCCACGGTAGACAGTTTAAGGTAAAAGGAATGGGGGCTAGAGAAACTAACAACAGGATCAGGTAGAGAGTTCCAGACATTTACTGCTCTATTGCTGAAGTCGTTTTTTCTGCAATCAAGATTAGAGCAGATTACATTTAGCTTGTATCTATTGATAGCCCTTGTGTTATTGCGGTTGAAGTAGTCATAACAGGTAGGATTTCATCTGCACATTTTTGAAATAAGAACTCATGTAGGCACGATGTCAATTCTCAAGTTAGTCCAGCTCCCACACTCTTATGTAGCTTTAAACAGAAAATCATCATTTAAATAAAAATAATAATTAGGTTTTAAATATCCAAGGTATCTCTGCTTGCCCAGTTGAACTTCTGGTTCACACTTGGGTTGCACCAACTTTCTGTTGTTATTGTGTAAATATCCTTTCCTGAAACAGATCAGTGCAATGAACCATGTCATCTTTCCCTCCCTATATTGATCTTCTAGTAATTCTGTAGAAGTTGAACTTGAATTACAACATTTTGTACAAGGCCCAGTCAGCTTCATGGCCGGGAGGGAATGTGTAGTATTACTGATCTAATTTTATTTTTTTAATGGACTAACTTCTAAATAACACTGATGCTTCTGGGGAGGCAAGAGAAGTGGGGCCTGCATTTAATGCATGGTCCTGAAAACATTGTAAGTGTAATAATATATTACTTACGACTATATGGAAAGAGAAAGCAAAAAAAAAAAAATGGTGAATACAAATAAGTTTTTTTTAGTGTCTCTCTTACCCAATCTACTATAAAAAATTCTACATTTAGTGTTTACTTTGGTCATCCATCTTTTTGTAGCTTTAGCTTTTTTCCTGCATAAAAATTGAAATGCATATCAGAAGAAACGTTGACTTAATCACCAAGCTTCATCATTGCTGCCCTTTAGAGATACTTGATTGTCAGTTGTCCCTTCCCAGCCAAAACCATAGCTAATTGTATTACAGAGACTATAGTCAGGAAACATATAATTTTTTAATAATAAGAAAAATATTTATAGTTAAATCAAATACAAATATATCCATATTAAACCTTACACCTATAATTTCTTAAATTAATCTTGGGCAAACATGTAAAGCTGAATTCTGTCTTACTGTACTGTGTAAAATCTAGTATTTATAACTATGAATGTTGCACATGATCTATCTTCTTATGATTTCATATGCATAGGGGCTGTCCGCAATTGCTTTAATCATTTTTTTTAATCTTTCATTATGCCAGCTCAGTGAATTTGTATATGCCTACTTACTTCCTTTTACCAACTTGTGAACTATGAACTTTGCAACATACTTAGAGTTACAAATAGAGTTGCCAAACAAAAAAGGCATTTCCTTGTATAAAACAAACAGTTCTGCTAAGAGATTTTGTTTCTGGATAATTCTAGCTTATTACAATGAAAAGGCAGCCAACAATGATTTGAATTTTTGTTCTTCCTCATCTATTGTACTAAACTATGATGCTTTGCTTACTTTTGGCTTAGTATGATGAGACAACCTAATTTTGGTTTGCAAAATCATGGTCACAGTTTAATATAGGGTATGAAGCCAGTACCATGGCTATTTCAACAAAGCATTGTTAAAACAAACGGAGTTTAGTGCGAGTTGTTGTTACTTGCGAACTTGTGTCCATCCCATCGCGACGCCATGGACAATGTTCCTCCAGGCCTTCCTGTCCTCTACCATCCTCTGGAGTCCCATTTAAGCTCACACCTACTGCTTCAATGACTCCATCCAGCCACCTCATTCTCTGTCATCCCCTTCTTTTGCCTTCAATCTTTCCTAGTATTAGGCTCTTCTCCAGTGAGTCCTTCTTTCAGCCAGTAACTCAGCAACTTTAAGATATGTACAGGTAGTCCTCGATTTATAACCACAATTGAGCCCCAAATTTCTGTTATTAAATGATGTTAAGTGACTTTTGCCCCAGTTTACGATCTTTCTTGCCACAGTTGTTAAGTGAAACATTGAAGTTGATAAGTTAGTAACCCGTTTGTTAAGTGAATCTGGCTTCCTCATTGACTTTGCTTGTCAGAAGGCTGCAAAAGTGGATCATACAATCTTGGGACACAGCAACTGTCAAAAATATGAACCAGTTGCCAAGTGTCTGAATTTTGATCACATGACCATGGGTCTGCTGCAAAGGTCATAAGTGTGAAACATGATCATAAGTCACATTTTCCAGTGCCGTTGAACTGTCATTAAACAAACTGTTGTAAGTTAGGGACTACCTGTATTCAGGAATATTCTACAGACATCAGAGCTCTCATTTCCTAAAACCAGCCAAGTATTTTTCTTTTGGATTCTAGTCCTCTGGGTTTTTTCCCTTCTGATGAAAAAGAAATTTGTTCCATCTCAAGATTCATAGAACTGAAAGGCCTAATATGTGCCTTTCAGTTTTCCAATTACAAAATTTGTGCATTTGTTACAGAAATGAGAGGCTTTGGGTTATACTGGTCTAAAACTGTTATATATGAATGAATTATTCTGTCTGAGGCTAAGTGAGGGGATATACATATGTGCACAGAATTTTCGATTATTGTTAGGAATTTCTCTTGGAGAGAAATAGAATAGTGCTCTGCCAATGGATTGAATATTCTGCCACTCCCAAAATCTTACTGGTTGGCCTTATGACTG